GAAACTCAATAAAAGTCAACAGAAATGGTCCGCGTACGATAGGGAATTATTTTCTATTTATTCTGCAATTAAGAAATTCCGACACATGTTAGAGGGCAGAAATTTTATAATTTATACGGATCAAAAACCGTTAATATACGCTTTTAAACAGAACCCTCATAAATGTTCACCTCGACAATTGCGCCATTTAGATTTTATTTCTCAGTACTCTACTGATATTAGGCATGTGCAAGGTTCAAAAAAACGTCGTTGCTGACGCTCTTTCAAGAATCGAAATTGATTCCATAACAAAATCTCCATTTTTGGATTTTTAAAAAATTTTCGGAAGCTCAACGGCATGATCCGGAGGTACAAGACCTTCTCAAAAACAACACATCATCTTTGAAACTGGAATTTAAACCGTGCCAATATTCTGATGGTAATATTCTTTGTGACATATCAACAGACATTCCTCGTCCATTTGTTCCGAATTCCTTTCGCAGACTCATCTTTAATCATCTGCATAATCTGTCACATCCAGGAATTGCAGCAGCTACTACGAAGCTTATTTGTTCTCGTTATGTATGGCCCGATATGAAACGTCATATCAAAAATTGGGTGAAATCCTGTGAATCTTGCCAAAAATCGAAAATTACTAGGCATACTAAAGCACCACTGGGCACATTCTCTCTTCCTGATGCACGTTTTTCAGAAATCCATATGGATATCGTCGGACCGTTACCTCCATCAGAAGGCAACGTGTACCTTTTGACTCTAATAGATAGATTCTCCAGATGGCCTGAAGCCATTCCCATCCCGGATATGAAAACGGAAACCATTTGCAGAGCCATCTTCAACTGTTGGATATCTCGTTTTGGCTGCCCATCGATCATAACAACAGACCAAGGTTCTCAAATGAGATCCGCACTTTTTGCAGAATTCACGCGCATTTTGGGTACGAACAGAATCACAACAACAGCCTATCATCCAATGTCCAACGGCATTGTTGAACGATTTCATCGACATTTAAAATCTTCTCTCAAGGCTCACGAGACCAATAACTGGACTGAAACACTACCAGTTGTTATGCTTGGTATTCGGACAGCCGTAAAGGAAGATCTACAGTCATCTTGTGCTGAACTGGTGTACGGCACAACTCTCAAGCTGCCTAGTGATATGATAACGTCATCTAAGATATCTCCGTATGACACACAATTTATCACGAATCTTCGGCATAGAATGCAACAATTGAATCCAATAGCAACATCTGCACATTGCCAAGAAAAATGTTACGTAAGTGCTACCTTAAAGTCGTGTACGCATGTATACTTACGTGTCGATCGAGTAAAGCCACCTCTGTGCCAACCATATACAGGTCCGCATAAAGTCCTTTCTAGAACGGACAAAACTTTCACAATTGATATTAACGGTCTGAAATCTACTGTGTCTATAGACCGTGTGAAACCAGCCTATTTGCTTTCGGACTCTAATTTGCCTGAACTGAAAACAAATAAAGACTTAAAGACAGTTCAGCAGAATAAATCTGCAAACGAACTCTCTAAGACACAAACTGTCACCAGATCGGGAAGACATGTTCACTTCCCTAAGAAACTTGCTTCTTACATAACAATTTAAAACACTTTTTTTAAATTCATATCTTAACATATTTCTTGTTATTTCATGTTTATTATATGTGTCAATACCTTGTTATATATTGAATTGCATTTTGATCTTTTCTAATTTTATATTCTAATTTTGTAATCATGTAAAAAATACCCGACAGTACGGATACTCTGAGATAATTTCATAACCTATGTCGTTCCTTTGAATAGCCATTAAAGGAACTGGGGGGAAACTCTGTGGTGATGGCGATAAGGAGCGCGCCTTGCGCCCTCCGATAAGTGTGGCAACCCTAGAGGAGAAGTTTCTTACGAGTAGCGAGCAGAGCGAAACAGGCAGGCTGTCGGGGAGTGTGCGCGAAGTTCCTAAATAAAGCTTAATTTTTATTGTGCACTATGTCTTGTTAATATTTATATTAATGCAGTAAGAACATAATCTGTGATATGGAATTTGAGGATTGGTGGTAAAAACATAACTGGAAATTTCCATACTTGCTTATAAATGTGTATCCATTTTAAATTTTGTATTTATAAATTGAATATAAAAAAGGGTATAAGCAGTTTAATAAATCTAATAAAGTTATAATAATTATCCTGAATAATTTCAGGTAGGGAACTGAAAGATAGCCTACCATAGTCAGTTACTTTAAAATAGGCATTTCAAAGCAATTGCCAGCCCTCTCCATTTGCAGTCATAACAAGTGTCATCTTCATACATGGCAATTATTTTCTCAATTTCATTTAAGACTAATTCAAGTCAGCCTTCATTTATCATTTTTCATGAAGCAAAGCATGTTAAATGGAAATAAAGTGAATGAAAAAAAATTCAGCAACTCAAAAATCGTTTGCTTCAGCTGTCGTTCCCTTGTTTACAGGGCAACACAAGTAGTAGAAAACTTGTGTACTTCTGTAATTTCTGTTCTGTGAATGTTGTGTACTTGTGCCTTAAACTTCCTATTCTTAATAATACACTGTAGAGACAAAAACTGCAATACTATGCGTTCAAAAATTAATCAACAACAACTTTTAGCAGACTTTTTAATTAACTGATTTTTGGTAGACTATGAAAAGTTTTATCAAGCATCATGCATGTCATAAGTTGAAAATTATTTTTTAGAGAATGGATGTAGAATTAATTATATGAGCATATGCAAGAAAAATTAGTAATTTTTTTAAGTAAATACTTTTGTAATTTCTGCTCTGTGAATGATATCTCATGAATCTTTTCAAAGAAATTAAAGTACACTGCTGGACACCGTAAAAGCAACACCCTGAAGGAAGCATGCAAATAACATGAAATTTACTACGTGCATTAGCAGAGGTGAGATATGCAAATGCTTAGAATTTCAGTGCAGATGCACATCACACGCGCCTGTGGCGCCACTTCAAAGCACTATTTAAGGCTTGGAGTTTTTGACTATTTCAAGCTCGGCAATTGTGTTTTTCTTGTGGTTTTTTTCAAAAAAATGATCAATCATAGTAAACAGCGATCATCATTTGATCAAGTATCCGAGTTCGACAGAGGAAGGATAGTGGCCTACTGAGAGTGTGGATTATCTTTCAGGGAAATCAGTAGTCGTGTTGGATGAAACCAAACAACTGTAAGGCGGATATGTGACCTTGCATGCAGGAGGGTACGACGGAATGACGTGTTCGATCACATACATCTCAGTGCACCACTTCACGGGGTAACAGGAGCTTTGTGTGCATGGCAGTGACGGATCGCTCAGTCACATCACGAACCATAGCACACTCCACAATGGTCGGATTTGAGTCTGGAGACATTGTGGAGAAAGCATGCTGAACAGCTGTGTTATGCACCGTCACACTGGTCCTGCACTGGGTATTATGGTATGGGGCAGTATTGGATATCACTCTTGCACTCGTCTAATACGCATTGCCGGTACTTTAAACAGGCAGCGCTACATCTCCGAGGTGTTGGAGCCAGTTGTCCTTCCTTACCTTCAGGGCTTACCCATAGCCATATTTCAACAGGATAATGTGCGACCACACGTGGCACGCATTGTCCAAGGTTTCTTCGTCAATCGCCAGGTTGAATTGCTTCTCTGGCCGGCTCGCTCTCCGAATATTTCACCGATAGAAAACATGTGGTCTATGGTTTGCTGAACAATTGACCCAGATTACGTCCCAAGCTGCTGCACCAGATCAACTTTGGCAACGTGTAGAAGCTGCTTGGTCTGCTGTACCCCAAGATTACATCTAAAGTCTCTTTGAATGAATGTCGAGGTGTGTGGCAGCGGTGATATCCAACAATGGCGGCTACTCTGGTTACTGATTCTGGAAGGAACCACACTTCACAGAAGTCTATAAATTTAATCATTTGATACTTGGTCAACATGTTATCTACTACAGTCAAAAGTCATTAATCTGGACCTCAAAGCTACAAACTTTCTGCGCATGCGTCAACGCATAATGTGTTTCACGCATGCGCATAATACGTTTACGCATGCGCGTTTAATGTATACGCAGATGGTATAAGCTAAGATAAAATTATCTAACTTATCTATTTCAGTTAATGTTGCAGATTGTGTTGTTCCTTAATCTTTGAATTGGATCCGGCTTATTATTTTTTGCAGACTCTTAGAGCAATTTTATAAAAGTAAGCTTGAACTTTTGATTATGTCAGATAGAATTTCCGATGCTGGAGCTGCCAAAGGATCTACAAAGCGGAAGCACGTTTCGATGTCCATCAAACAAAAAGTGGAATTGCTGCACAAAAGTGGATAAAGACATATCCTTTGTTTCTCTAACCATTCCGAAATCTGTTTATCAATCATGCAGCTCTGCAGGGGAGGGGAATGTCGTGGCGCACAATGAACTGGAAGTTGATCTGTCAGCACTATCCTTATCTTCAGGGCATATGTTTTGTATTTTATTTGGCTTATAATTCATTACTAAATCTAGTATTTCATCTCGATGTACTCTGTCTTTGATATGATTTAAATTAAATTCATTATAAATATCACGAATACACATCAAATGGTTTTCTGGTTGCAATTTTCTAATTTCGACTATGCGTAATGTATGCTTTACGCATGTGCGCGTTGAAAGAAATGTTTAATAAAGTAAACAAATAAATATTAAGCTTTATTTTTTTTTTTTTTTTTTATTTTATTTTGATACCCTTTAGATCATAATTTTTCTTTATTTCATTAATTACGGTTTCATATTTTTAATTTTATAATTTCTGCATGCCATCTTACCAGATTTAAACTGATGATCTATAATCCGGAAAATTGATAATCCGGAACAACAAAATTTATTTACAGTCAAATGTCTTTAATCCGGACTCGCTGAAGTCCCAACGATTCCGGATTAAAGACTTTTGACTGTAAATAAATTTTGTTGTGATATCTCTTGTCTTTCTTGGTGTTTCAATTAGGGTGGCCAGCAGTGTATTTCAAACTATGTTTGGTCTGTTGAAAGTTTTTTATCATACAATTCAATAATTTGCTACAAAGAAAGAATTTAAGTTATAGAAAACAATAAATGGTTGCCAAATACCATGATAATGCTTATAATATTCTCATTATTTCACACATTAAATTACTTTGAAAACCCTAACATTTTTATACTAGTACAGGAATTCTGGTTTTTAATTCAATTTCTTTGTTTTAAAATGCATCTAGTAATTATTTGAAAAGGAATGTTTGATTATATTTTGCTATTATAATTATTGTGTGCAACTAAAAGTGCTTTTCTTATATTTTAAAGTACATTAATAAAGCTTTTTTATGTTAATAAATGAGTTAATGTATTTTATAGATAAATCCTGAAACCAATACTATGGTGCTAGTTTCAAGGTCAATTGAACATCCAGCCTGCCCTGTAAACAATAAATATGTTAGAGTAACTAAATATAGTTCTAGAATGGTAATCAGGCCTCATAGGACTTATGATGAGGTAATCTATTTATTCCTTCATTAATTATGTATGTGTGTCTATATATATATATAACAACATAATCCAAAAATGCAAAGTAGGATAATTTTTTAAATCCTGTGCTTTGGCTGCATAGATTTAATTATAAGCAATATAATGAAATTAAAAATAAATATAACGCTTATTAATTTGTGCATATTTAGCCAAAAAGTTAAGAATTTTAATGTGATGTCAAAAGGTAAACCTAAATGAAGAATAGAATTTATGTACCAACTCCAATAAAGGTCAATACAAAATTAAATTTAATAAAATTTTAAATTATTGATAATTAGAATAATTAAACTTAAAAGATACTGAATAAGTGAAGGAAATTTGGTAATCTCCTGTCAAGGAAGAGCTAGCAGTTAAAGTAAATAAAATGTAAGAATACATCCAATATGAGTAAAAGTTTAGTTAACTTTGGATTTTAAATTTTAGAAATATGAATTATTGAAAAATCAGTGAGACAATGCAAATTCGTCAAGAGAACTTAGCTTATAGCAGACATCGTGTTTCGTCCTTCTCATGCATATGTAATTTTGAAAACAAAAATTTGTAATTTTAATTATTATCATTTCTTTCAAAAATTACTATATCCATATACATATTAGGAATTCCCCAACATGATAAATAGTCTGCTATTCTAATTCAGTTAAATTTGCTAAATGCAAATATCATGATAAATATATCCCAAGAATTACATGGAATATTCATGCAAGTATCAAACAATAAATAAAAGATTTACAAACAAATAAAAAAAATTACAAAAATAAGCAATTTACTTCTTAATTACAAAATTATTCAATTTAAAGAATAGTGTTATATGTAAAATTATTTTGTTTTTAATTTCTTTATATTGTTTATATATATATATACTCTGTGTGTATGATACATATATAAACATTCACTGTATATATTCAAAATATACACTGAATCATATATTTGTTTTACAAGTAATTTTGATGGTTTTTCTAATAATGTAGGACGTCTCACTTGCTACTTACTGGCCTTGGAGTATTCTTTGTTAACTTTGGAAAGGAGATAAATACAGAATAAAAAATTTGCAGAACATGAGCAAAAGACTGTAAGAAAGCAATAAGCATCAAGACTATTGTTTGTAACAAGTATGAGTGGTGTTTAATTTGACATTCATTGGTGGAGGTGAGGTGATTGGCTTGTGATCAAGGTCCATTAGACATGATTGCTTAACCCTCTCACTGCCTACTTTTTTTATCAAAATTGGTTCAAAAATTGCGTAATTTTTTATTACATATTTCAAATCTACATATATTTTAGAGTTAAAATATACACAAATAAATTTTAGAGTTAAAATATACAAAAATTTTTTGTAAAAGAGTTTTTTTTCAATATGGAATTAGATCATAGAAAAAGGTTGTCAGAATACTGAAATTAAGGAAAATTTTGAAAATTAATATTGGTAAAATTATGATTTATTTTATAAAATACAAATGTAAAACATATACAGTGAAACCTCGTTACACCAATATTTTAGGGACCAAATAAATATATTGTTGTAGAGAGGCATATTGTTATATCCAGAGTCCACATATTTTGAGCATTTAATAAGAGTTTTTTATTTATTATTAGTAGTAGTAGTTTAAGGTGCATAACATACTACTTTTTAAGTCTATATTTAGAAGAAATTAATTTGTAAAATACTAATAATAGTGGTTTAAAATACTAAAAAAATAAATAAGATAAGATAAATTCAGAAAATAAGCACAGAAATATTCACCATACCTGAAAACACTTTTTATTGAAAATAATCCCATATTTTTTGTTTGTTATTGATTTTTTTAACTGTTAAGTTCATCACCAATACTGTATGCATTGAGTCTAGTGCACGAAAAGTTTCTTCATTTGTCGACGGAAGGCTTGAAAAAAATGTCCGTAGAGAATTCACAGATTGAAGAGCTTCCTGGGATGACAATAAGGACTGTGATGAACCTGTATTATCATCATCATCAATATCGTCATCATCTTCATCATTGTTTCCTATCTCATCAGTAATTTCAGAGATATATCAGAGATTTCAGAGATCTTTCAGAGAATATCTTCATCAGTAACTCCTGCGAAAACCATAAGATCATCATCTGCTGTTAAATAGTCTTCTATACTAATTCCAAACTTTTTACCGCTTGTTTCCTCAAGTTGGGATGCAGATTTTTTGATGTGCAAAACACATTCTTGATCATCTGAGAGATCGTTGTCTATGGAATTTTCATCATTATCAGATTTCTTATCTTCCATAACACAAAGACCGGCCTTTTTTTCCAGCAATTCCGAATGGTTTTTTTTTTTCTGTTACTTCCCACCAACTTTCAGCAATATTGTCACATGCTTCCTTGGCATTTACAGCTTTGAAAGGGTCTTCTACTTTATTTTTCAAAGTTTACAAGTATGGAGTCCACCAACCGTTTTCTGTAATATCCTTTGAAGCACTTAATCATGCCCATATTAAGAGGCTGTAAAATTGAAGTGCAATTGGCAGGGAAAAAAGCGATTTTGATATTTTGTAGCTTTGGAAATGATGTGTGAGCACCGCAGTTATCTATCAACAAAACGATTTTTTTCTTTCTCTTCTTCATTTCATTGTCTAACTTCTGTAACCATTCGGGAAAAAATTTAGACATCATCCAAGCCTTCTTATTTGCTTTATACTCCACGGAAAGACTTTTCACGTTCTTAAAGCACCTTGGCTTCAATGATTTACCAATGACGAGAGGTTGTATTCTATGCATTCCTGTGCTATTTGTACACAGAAGAACAGTCAGTCTCTGCTCTGATTTCTTCCCTCCATAACACTTTTCACCCTTGAATGCCAATGTTCGATCGGGTAGGAGTTGGAAAAACAGCCCAGCTTCATCTGCATTATAAATGTCTTCTGGAGCATACTTTTCTAAGATTTCTTTCATCTTGTTTTTTGCCGCCATTCATTTGCGTCGTTTATCGGGGCTGACTTTTTCTCTCCGTGAACTTCTTGGAAAGTTATTCCATGACGATCTCGAAAACGCATTAAACCAACCATTGCTAGCTTTGAAAGTTTCGTTCCCCTAGCATTGCTGCAAATTTCCGTGCTTTTGAACATAATAAAGGTCCATTTATTGGGACATTTGTTGCTCTCATCTCTTGAAAACCATTTTAAAAACAGCAGCAGCATCAATGTTTTCATTTGTCGCAACTTTCAGTCGTTTTTCGCTCTGGGTTAATTTCATTTGAAGTTACAGCATCTTCGATTTGCTTTCTCTTCTTTAGGAATGTTGCAACTGTAGATTGCGATAATCCATGTTTCTTAGTCGCATCAATCTGCTTCATTCCCTCATCAATATCATTGATAACGTTCAGTTTTATCTCGAAAAGATAGTTGCTTTCGCCCTGCCATCTTAGGGAACAATATCGTGTGAAAGAAAGAAAAGTTTAAACCAAATGTTTCGCGTAGAACTCAAAATCATTAAAGACTATAAAACAACCTTTGAACTCACTTTTCTGTACGTCACTTAACAACACCCCGCCTGCATCTCCCCCCTGTTCCTCTAACAAAGGGCACTTGTTCTGTGACAAGGTGATCAGACAGGTCTAGATGTCCTTAAACCTTATCAGAATTCCAAAGCTTACTGGGAAATGAGACTAGGCATACATTTACACTTCACCCCCCCTCCCCATTCCAATTCCCAAAAGGGTGGTCTTCATCTGGTTTTGAAATCTGAACAATAGCTATTTATTCAGGGATAAGTTGAATATCCACAATGAGTCTTAATAGACGGAAAAAATAACAAAAGAAACGAAAAAAAAAAAAAGCATTTGAAAATCAAAATATTATTATAAAGGGAGAAAATAATACTGAAATTTAGATTGAAAAAAATCGTTTTAAACAGAGGTTTATTGTTCTAGAGAATATAGCAATATTGAGGGGAGATTAACATTAGTTTATATGCAAAATCACCGGGACAACAAAACATTATTGTAGTAGAGGGAGTTATTGTTGTATCGGGTATCGTTGTAGCGAGAGTTTACTGTATACTAATGAAAATATTTGCATAATGTAATATTTTGCATATCAGTTTTTCACCACTGACGAACGTTTTCAATAGAAACTGAATTTTCAGATTCATCACTATCTGCAGAGGAATCTGCGAAATTCTCATGAGTTTTGCTATAACTCTCTTCAATATACTTGAAACCAGAGTTAGAACTACTATCAGTGGCGGAAATATCGTCAGGAATATAGGTTATATCACTCTTAAAACGCTTCCTGCCAGACATCTTGGAGATCTGAAAAGCACGCGCAAAATGCTACATTACGTATTCTTGTATATTTGGCAGAAATGTGCACAACTAACGCTATCTGTTAGCCCACATCTAAATAAACAATTAAACATCACAGAAAAGCCGAAAGAAAACCTTAAATGGGGAAAGAGCGCATTGCACAGTTAAATAGGCGGCAAAAATTCAATCATAGAGCTTATTGCCAGCTATCTCCAACATAATGGAACAACATGTTACATATCAATCTGTCGAACTTTGCTTTCTTCTTCTGACCCGTGTTGAAATGTAAAGCATACCAGAATAAATTATTTGGAAAGAGGGAGTAAGAAACCTTGGCAGAAGTACGTAGCCTGAAACCCAGTTGTTTGATAAAAAGAGTTCATATTTCATTTAGCATGGCTGCCAATAAAATAAATGTTTGTCATTGCATGTTATTCTTTATTAACCTTGAAAAATATGCTGCAGAAATCAAAATAATGATTCATGAAGCATATGGGGAAGATAACATTGGTACTACACTGGTTATCATAAATTAAGGAAAAGTTACATGTAGAATTTTATGAAACATACCCACAATATACAACACATAGTAAGGTAAATAACATAAAAATGAATTACCAGACAATTATGGTAGTATAGAAATTAGCACTTGTATAAAATAAACAAATCAAAGGTGTCGGTTTGCTATAGGAAAAGTACCTTCAATATGGAATATGGGCGCCTCTAGAAGCAATACAGCGATGTGTGATGCTTTCAATTATGCGGTGTATCAGTTCCATAGGAAGCGAGAGCCATTGCTCTTGCAAGCGCAGCAAGGGTCTGAGGGGGCGGATTGAGAGCAGTTAGGCGTCTCTCTAAAGCATCCCAAACGTGCTCGATAGGATTCAAATCCAGGGATCAAGCTGGCCACTCCATGTGCATAACTGCTTCCTGTTGAAGATAATCATTTACGATGCAAGCCCTGTGTGGTCTTGCGTTATCGTCCTGTAACAGGAAAGCATCACCTATTGCCCCGGCACATGGGTGCACATAAACATCAAGGATATCATCTCTATAAACCTGAGCGTTCATGATTTCCGCTGCAAAGACATGGAGGTCTGTGCGTCCACCCAAAGAGATGCCACCCCAAAACACAAACACTGCCTCTTCCATATGCATCTCTTTAACGGATGTTTGATGGATGATTATGGGTTCCAAGTTCTCTCCATATCAAAATAACGCTTACTATCGCTTTCTAGAGTAAACCTAGACTCATCTGTAAAGAGAACAGCTCTCCACTGATTAGGCATCCAGTAGACATGTTGTCATGCCTACTGCAAACGGTTCCTCCTATGGCATGACGTGAGCGCCACGCGAATGGCTGGTCGCCTCGCATACAGACCACCTTCCTGAAGCCTTCTACGCACAGTTGACGTTGACACAAATCCTCGGGTGGCTGCAGCAAGGGAGGATCTAAGAAGAGTCACAGTAGCGGTTCTATTCCTGCGTGCACATAATGTCAAATATCGGTTATCAGCGCTCATCGTAGCAGTTGGCCGTCCTTGGCTGAACCTCCTAGATGCCGAATCTGTGGTTTGAAATCGCCTCCAAAGTCTATGAACCAAAGAAGGATTCACATTTAGCCATCTGGCCACTTCTGTTTGACTTTATCCTGCCTCTAGTCTCCCAATGGCTCTCCATTGTAGTTCTGCAGGCAAATGATGCCTAGAGAACATTGTTACGAATTGGCTATCTCAGATTTCTAATGTCACTATCACACTAAAATATGTGGGCTTGCTCTCAAACATGGACTTTTATTCTCCTCAGAGATGACATATTCCGAGTGCAGCACCAGTAATTTGCATATTGCAGTTTTATTCAGCTACTCTTACCTGGCAACATATTCAAATTTTACACGGTTTCGCTTATTTTTGAGGGAGTATCCCTATTTTTGTGATTTTTTCTTAATTTATGATAACCAGTGTAGTATGGTAAGTAAATGGTTCACCAAGTTTAAGAAGAGAGATTTTAACTTTAGACAAGACAAGAATTGGAAGACCACAAGAATTCAAAAACAATTATCTGAAGAAACATCTATTTGAAGAAGATTCATCTAAACAACCAAGGAACTGGGTGAGAAGCTTGGAGCTGATAATTCAATAATCATTAGATGTCTGCACATACTTGGCAAGATACAGAAAGCAAGCAAATGGAGCCCATATGAGTTTACAGAAAGCAAAACTGAGAGTCATCTGAACATCTGTAAGTGAGTTATTTGTTGTTGGCTATAAAAGAAAGTCTGTTTTATGGCAAATTATAATAGGAGATGAAAAGTGGGTTTACTGTGATAACCTTTATTGTCAAAATTCATGGGTAAATCCTAGTCAGCCTTCAATTTTTATCACTAAAATGAATATCCATGGTGAAAAGATTTTCTTGTGCATCTGGTGGGATATGCTGTATTACGAATTGAATGCTGAATGCTATAATTATCAATTGCTCCATTTGAATCAAAAATTGAGGAGAAGCAACCTTTCATTGGCCAAGGAACAGGGACAGATCATATTAATTGCATGATTATGCTCATCAACATGTCACTTTATCAACAAAAACATTCTTCGGCTGGAAAGTTCTCTTACATGACATATTCACCCGATCTCCGTCCTTCAGATTATCATTTGTTTAGGTCCGTATGTTTTGGCCAGTGCTTTGCATATAATTGGTAATATAAAAAATTGAATCCACAGTTTTTCCTTGAGCAAGGAATACAAAAACTGCATGTTTTATGGGCTAAAGTAATTGAGCGTCAGAGAAAAATCTTTAAGGATTAAGATTGTATTTCATTGTTTTAAAATGTAATGATCTGAGTAAACAGTAAGAACACTAAGAACTTTTGCATACACCTGAAATGTTCAATTGTGTCTGCAAACCAGTGGTGGCTTATTTTAATATTTCAAATAATCATCAGTTGCCGTATAGTTTCTTTTCTATATGCTGATTATTTCACACATTATTTGGAGAAAACTGAGGCCAGTAGTATGTGAGAGACCTTGTATGAACATTTCCATTTTTTGTCATCCTAATAATCTACTCAGTTTCATTCAAAATTGGAATTGCTTATTTCATTATTATTTAGTTATTTGTAAATGAAATACTTTTCATGATATGATAGATCAACGTCTAGTTCAATTAATTTTTTTTTTTATTGCAGAATGGATTTGATTATGTACTTACTTATTTTGATGATCCTCAGGCAGCATTTCCTACTCCAGCTTATAACTGGATGGCAAAATCAGGTATGGTTTCAATGATGAATTTTATGGTAATTTTGTTTGTCTTAAATTTTATGCATTTTGAGTGCAGTTTATATCTGTATTAGATATGAAATGTGATCAAATTTTAATCTTAGAGAGAGAGGCTGCCTTCATCTTTTTACTTTAAAAATATAGACAATTGTATTATTGTCTGTAATATATAAAATATATATTAAAACCCTTTTTATAATAATATATTTATATAATTTATTTATAAATATAAAACTCTTTTTGAAAATTACTTTATCTAAATAGGTTTTAAATGTGATACATATTTTTATTAGATGATTTGAATTTTACATAAATGTATTTAAATAAAATAGAATGCTACCAGCATTTCAAAGCTTTATTTTTGTATCTTCAAAATTTTTTAATTTCTTCCTTAAAATATATAAAATATATCATACTTATGTTTTTGTTTCTAAGCAAATTGCTGAAATATGAAAAATGATTTAAGTTTTTTTTTTTTATAATTTTTTGATGATGGAATTACATGATTTAAAACTGATAATGTATATCCTGTTGAATATTCAACTTAAGTGCGTTTTAAATCTTTTTAATTAGGTGTTCCTGATTTTGTTGAGAAATTACATGAAGCTGCTCGGAAACTTTACTATGAGGAGCATAGAAACAAATCTAGTCCATCTGTACCACCTGTAACTAAAGAATCGTGTCATAGTAGCAATGTTGAATATATATACATATAATTTATTATGAGATATTTAAGGAACTTTTTAATATTAACCTATTTCTCTAGGTACACATGGTGTCTTATCAAAGAAATATAACTGTTATTTTAAATTTTTATCATTCATTGTAATTAGACTATGAATCATTTCATTTTGTAAATTTTAAGATAGTGCTGGAATATATTGTATTGTTGACAAATAAAAGTTTAATTCATTTCTAGATTATTTTTAGAAGCTTTGCACAGCCATTTGAATTAAATTCTCTTTCTCTTAGTCTTCAAACCAGATTTGCATGAATTCATTTGTTCGTTTGTATATTTTTGTTCGAATAAATGTTTTTCGAAGGAGTTTTATTTTGTGTTTTTCTTGAACATAAGTGTATTGAAGCCAGCAAAACCTTTATGCATTCAAGTTTAAATCCCTCTTTCAAAATTTTTAAATATTAATTCAGTATTTTAAAGCATTTAATGTTTCGAAATACATATGTAATGATACAGAAGTTATTGACATGGAGATTTATAAAATAGTAGTTGCAGTATGGCTGATTTTATTATTTCTTTATTCTGGTTGGCAAGTATTTTTGATGGTCTGCTATTAAATTGGTATTATAAGCACACCTATTCTTGAAGAACTTTTACATTTTTAAGATGCTGCAGGAAGGAAAGCAGCAACAGCAATCTAGCTAAACAGAGAGGATGAGAGAAAATGTGACATGCCGAAGACCAAAGTTAGATTAAGATTGGTTTTCACTTTGTTTTCATTGGTTGTTTAAATTTAAGTTTAAAATTATTATTGGCTGAAGCAATATGTAAAGCATCTGAATCTTATTTTGAAATGATGGAATTTAGAGAGCTTTTTTGTAGGCAGGTTCTATATTTCGGACAGAAAACTGAAATTATTTAATTCAAATTGAGAGGTAAGGGACTATTTCAAATTAAAATTTCTATTTGTACATTTTTTATCTTATATTTCCCCTCTTTAAAGAGAAAAAGGTTTAACAACAGTAAAGCATAGAGCAAAAACATTAGAGTAATAACAATTTACAATATGAACATGAAATAGTGCTCATCCATAGAGCATCTGTCAAGGCCGATGGAACATATTTTATTTCTTGTAAAGCACATTCTGAACTCTAAATACAAAGTACAATGAGCACAATCTGCATGCTTACTTTTGATCACATTTGAGCCTTTTTACATTATTATAACCGCACAGTTGATGAAAGACAGGCAAGTGTGATATATTTAGAATAAAAGCTTTCTTCAGAATGAATCAATTCACATTTTGTCCCTATTAGTTAAAAATAAGGTTTGGTTACTAAATTGGAAATCATTAATCTCATCTGGGTCATGAGCATTAGGCAAAAATCTTATTACATAGATTAATTCTGAAAAGACTGAATTCAGAGCAATTTATTATAAGTAGTTACTTATTTTTAGGACAGAAAAGAGTAATTAATGCCCATATCAAAGTTAAGAGACTGTTTGCAAATTAAAAGTTTTGCTTTACATATTTTTTTATTCAATTTACTAAAGCGGGAAGTTAGATTCAAATATAGCAACAAACTTTATGATATGCTATTTAAAAAGTAGATTCTGTTTTAAATATGCTGTAACTTGTTTATTATACAATCTTGTGATTTAAAATATTTGATCTGTTTATTGATCAAAAATTTCTATCCTTGATCCTAGTATAGAAATGAAATACTTTACTTAATCATTGCTTCTAGGGTAATTTTTCCAACACTAACTTTGTCACAAGTATGTTAAAAGAAGATAATAAATAATATGCCAAATTTTAGAATCATTCTTCATGTAAATTCATGTTCCTTGTTTTAGGGTTCTACTGATGTATGCATTAAATCAAATGTAAAAAATGAGATTCATTAAATGAATTAAAAATAGATGTAATGCATAATAAAAAAATCACATCTTTATTGTTAAATTGTTTCATGTTTCCTCTGTTTTTGTATGTGTGCCTGTGTGTGTATGTTTGTTTACAAACATTACTCTATGTTCTTATAGACAACATACAGCACACTACTATTTGTAATATTTTAGTTTATTAATACAGTTTATTAATACATTTATTCAACCAGCCGTATGATGAGAGATATTTTTAGCAAAACTCTGCCATCTTGTGCCTTTTAAAGTGGCTTTCTTGCTTTGTCATCTATCGGCAGATTACAAAACTAAGCCTCTATAACCCTTAGTTTTCAAGACAATATATGACATCATATCTAGTATTTGGAAAACATTAGTAAATGTGTATTACATTACATTTACATGAAAAGATGCTTAAAATGACAAACATACATATTGATGCATGTTGTGAAATAGCTGACTAAACGCAAACCAGCTGCGAGATGCCCATGATAGTGAATGCAGTATGAACTGAGCAATTAATTGTCTGTCTGTAATAAGTGGGATTCAATACCCCATAGACAGAAATTCAAAAGTGTCACATGTACACCGATTGTGGCAGTTATATCCTGATCCCACATCCAGTGAAGTTATCAGATTCTTCTTTATCCAACTAATTATATACAGAAGAGGTGAAAATATTCTGAGGAAGTTAATTAGTTCATCATAGAGCTCATAATGCATGCATAAGCCACACATAACCTTATTTTTTGTACCCTAAATATGCTGCACTTTTTCTTTCATATTCAGTGAGATGCACTGTTCTTTCCAAGACATATCCTTTTGTTCCGTTTCCGAGTCCCGATCGTGAATAGGTTAAGAATGCAATTGATGTCTAATTGGCTAGATATTAGATGCCAAATCTAGCCAATCAATGCAGCTTAATTTTAAGTTCCACATATCTATCTGACTGGTAAGTATAAAAACTGCTTATATTTATGTATAGTTTTTGAAGAAATCACTAAAGAAATGAGTTCACTCAGCTATTTCAGAACACATTCCAGTGACAGTAGCATTAATTTTTATCTTTAATGTGTAGTATCATATGAAGCGATAGAGAGCATCAAAAGGACACATAAATAAAAGGTGTTTCAATGACTGTCTTGAATAGACATTTTTCAATAGCAACTCTCTTGAATCTAATGTTTAAAATCATTTTTTTAATTAATCAAGATTGCAATGAACAATGAAGAGGCTAAAAATATGTTATTAATGAAAAATAAACATTAGGTCAAAATTCTATGAAAGAAAATACATTAGCATTTTAAGAATTTAAACCTCATAATAAAAAATTAAAAAAACGTAATTGTGACTTTGTTGCCTGGTTTTATAATTCTTTCAGGACAATTTTGCAGAATATTTCAAATACACAGAATGTGCAACCAGATAACCAGTTTATTTTATGTTAAAAGTTAAAATACATATTTCTGCATTAGTTACAGAAAGGGAAAAAATCATTAGTCACCTGATAGAAAGCAAGCAAAGCTATTTTAATTTATTTAAAACAATTAAGAGAGACTTCTTTCCCAATTAGTTACATAATCAGACGTTGCTTTCAGACATTTTATAAAAAGACACAAAATAGAAAATTTTATAGAAACACTGAATAATTAAGATTTTTGCATCATATTTTACCACTTTTGAAAAAGGCCAAAAAGTATAAATTTTCAAGACAGAAGCATAACTTTAAACATTTTTGTTACTATAGTTTTTTTTAAAAAAAAAGAATTTTCATTTTGTTTTAATCAAATATTTTTGCTTAATACAAAAGGAATATACACTTTAAATCATTAAGGAAAGAAGTACTGCAAAAGCTATCATGAGGAAACTTTAGGTAAGTGAATGAAGGTATGAAGTTTTTCTTCAGCAGTGATAAAAATGTTGGTTAATCTTTGGATTATGGTAACTTGGCGATTTTTTCGCAACCAACCCTGCTACAACAACCTGCTAGTTTTTGTTTGGATGCCATTTTGTTTTCACGAAGTAAAGGCATATTTTTTTATACTCAACATTTTTTTCCTAACAGTCTGCTAGCCGAAATTACACTTATACTAGAACTTTTATGAAAAGAAAAGCTGCTTAATCATGACGAAAGATTAGGTGCGAAATTGGGAGACAGTGCAGAATCGCCCACTACTTGCCGCATTTTTAAGAATTGCACATACATGGTATCATCCATGTACACGTCGACCTATTTTCACTTAAAAAAACATCCCAGAATTGCACAAAAATGGCATTGTGCACACTGTTAGCTTTATCCATGTACACTGCTAAAGTCCTAGATAGTAACCTTTATCGCCTTACCAAAATGTTGCCAAACTACCTGTTAACATACTCCAAAGATTAACCAAAATGTTTTGTAACAAAATTCAAACAAAAAAAGGTGAGGACCTAATACCATGGTATAATGCAAATTTTAATCATACTTCTGAAAATCTCTTCAAAGCAAGAAGATCTGGATTATTATGTACTTTTTTATTTTTAAAATACGAGTTATCTAAATTAAGCTGGAACCCAGGTGACCTAAATCTCTGAAGAACAAGATGAATACTTTTAAGGTGACTTCCAAGGAAATCAACAATGGAGCCTCAGATTCTACAGCCTACATTTTAAAAAAGTCTGAAAAATTCATTCTATATAAACTTTAGTCACTGTAGCACCCAAACAAGTTTGACAGAAATAAACTTTTTCCACTGTAGATGTGGTCATGATGTCAACTGAATCTGATGACATGGCGAGTATGTACATCACTGTCTGGAACATATGGAGAATAACTTTGCATTGAGGGAAAAAATACCTATAAACTCATGCATAAAAATTTTTAAGCCAATTTACTTTATACTTATCAGCTTACAATATGTGATACACTCCAGAGACTCCACCACAGTCATCAGATGTTAACCCAGTTGGAACATATCGGGAAGAAATAAAAAAGAATTTCAAAATTGCTCAATATCAAATAAACATGGTCTTAACAACATGTAGTATACGAATGGGAGGGGGGGTAAAATTAAAAAAGACATATCCTTGAATTTGGTACATTTAAATGCTTTAATGTCTTCAAGCCATTATTAATGAGAGGAAATACTGAACTAGTTATTAAACATTTTCTTTTGTTTTAACGAATACTTTATTTTATTTTTTCACTATAGTTGAACCTTGCTTTAAAGAATTGCAAAGGACTGTAAGTTTGGTTCATGATATTTGATCTAATAAGAAAAATGGATTATCTCACAAAAAAAGTATAAAAGCTGAATGAAAAATAAAGAAAAAACTGATTAACATAGTCACATCTGTCAAAAAAAAAGCGAATAATAAATCTGATTTTTTAAAATCATATTAAGATTTAATTGCAAGCAATTATTATTAATTCCTAAGCAAAATTATTAAATTTGCTGTTTGTTCTTTTCCAGCCTGTCTTTCCAGAGTATCTGGCAAATTCACTGGCCCTTTTTCTGAAGCATTTATCCAAAATACTGGCAGATCACAGCTTTCTTGAATGGTGAACCATTTCAACAATGCTTCTTCAACATCCCTATGTTCCACTTTTCTCAAATTTTTCCTTGTATTTAAATTTTTTCGATGAGCAAAAATTATAATAGAACATTGAATTTTATATGGTTATATGGTACCAACTGTAGACTTGAATAAACCATTTCTGGCAGACATCAATTTGGCAGCATCCATTTTATATTTTTCAAATAATATTCACCTTAATATCAATGCAGAAGCTTTACAACTCACCATGCAAATGAATTTTTGACACAGAAACAGAATGCACAGTTTAGTCAAAGAATATGCGAGAATTTTGCTCTTCTGGAAAAGAAGATAACTTTGTCACCTATGTGTCTTATTTAATGTCTGGTCAGAGTACAATCATTTCTCCCACGATGTATTTGGTTGCAATACAAAGATTCAACAACATTTATAAAGAGGATGTTATGTGTCACAAAAGACCTAACAAAGCAAAACTCCTATTCAGAGGATAAAACTTGGAAAATAATTTTACTCAAATAAAGCAACCAATAAATATCAAAATTTTTCATTCCCTAAAAGAATGAACTGTAAACTAAAGTTCATAAGATTCATTAATCCCCTGAATAGCGAAAATTACCAAACTTTTCACCCTAACATTAGCCTTGAATAAAATTCTGTCTGGTAGCTCTGTTAAAGAGTTTGAATGGAATCATAAAACCCATTCACATTTTTTGGTTCAATGGTCATGTACACCATATGATGTCCTAAGATATGCTTATTGTAATCCTCCTCCTCCGAGAGTTTTGTGTCTTGCATAGCCTTTTGTTTATAATACAGAGAAAAGTGGGAATGAAGATAAAAAAAATAATGTAAAAGTGTTTTCTTTTGTGGATGATTTTAACAGTTAGTAATTACTCCAATAAAACATCCAGGAATTCTGGACAAAATATGAAAAATACCCTCATACACACACACACCTCCCCCCAAAAAAAAGGATTATAGAAGATATCGATACAGTTTGTTTTATCTGATTTTCATACTCTTGGAGGTTTGCTATAACAGTATAAAATAGCATTAAATGTATAGAAAATTGGATGTGAACAAAAAAAAAAAAGTTATATCAAGAGGTTCATTACAAAGGCAAGTTTGTTAGAAGAATCTGATTATATATTGCAGAGTTAGCTTTTTGTTTTATTACATGTCTATGTTTGTTGTGTTAAACACATACTGTAATATTTTTCAGTGGAGATTCCATTCATCTAAATATGAACCAGTATATTTAAATTAAAAATTCTAGATGAAATTTTAGTTATTTTCAAATCATACATGTCTAGAAATACCTTTTCCATCACTACATATTGCATGCACATACCTCTTCAAGTATCACTGCGATGTCTTTAAGTCACAGTGAGTTTTCATAAATTATTGAAACTATATATATATATATATATATATATATTTTTTTTTTTTTTTTTTTTTTTTTTTTTTTTTTTGCACCCTATATTTTAAGTAATAGAAATTCAGTAAAATCTTTGAAATAAAAAAAATGGGAAAATTATAATATCCTGCTGTTATCGAAAATTTGGTATTCAGGCCAGTGTGCTGAATAATAGATGTTTACCAGACATCCATTGCATCATTAGGATATCTCATCTGCTGCCATTGGGTATGAATAAAAGTTATTTTTATTAGCATTTATCATAAAGACCAGTTTTTAATCACAAAATACCTATCTGCCACATATATGCAACATATTCAGATTTTCATGCAAAATTTACATAACAACCCATTAGTGATGCTCACTTTACTTATAATTCATATAAATTATAACATTTATATGTGTGGCATATTCAGTTTGGAAGTATGTTTCCTTATCATAATTTATTAATACAATATTTTATGTCCCCCCCCCAAAAAAAAAAACTAGGAAACACTTTTCCTCTGAGTTCAAAGACAGGGTTACAACAAATTATTGAATTATTATTAGTAGTATTTAAACTGATATTTTTGTTAGTTTTCTGGTATTACTTAATGAAAGTCTGATTTTTTAGGTTCCAGTCTAACACCTGGAAGGTGTCAACTGGATAGGCCTTTTTAAGAGCCCATGCTGTTATACAAGTTGGTTTCAGCTCAAAAAAACAAACCTCTTTAAAGGTGCTGGAACCCTTAAGAAAAATATCTAATTTGAAAATAGCAATCATCATAACAGTTCAAAATCCTTTCTGTAAATCAAATATTTGTTAATAATTTTCTTACTGATTTATTAATAAGCAGCGGATAAAATAAAACCATAGCAACTTTCACTTGTATGAAGACCTTAGCACATTGATAAAAAACAGAATTTGCATGATGGAGCCCCTACTTTTATTAAACTATTAACAAAAAAGACTGTCCACATCTACATGAAAAACACTGGAATATCTTAAAGGTGTCCACTTATATATTAGAAATGCTCGATTGGTACAAAAATGATGTTATTTTTATTCCTTGTAAATCAGACTAATGTTCCAAGTTGACCTTCTTCAAAATAAATTCACGAATCTTAATAAATCATAAACCATTTCATGTCGTAATAACCCTATTTTCATAACTATGACAAAACACATGAGAACTGGAAAGACTTTCTGTACACTTTTTTTAAATTTATTTATTAATCTTTCTTCAGGGGTACTAGAATTCAAAGAGATTACAAATTTACTACAAGCTTTCATACCAAATCTTTAAATACTATATGTAATATTCAGATAATTTAAATGTTCTATTTAATGGTCTAAATGTCCAATCTGATTTTTTTAATATAAATGTGCTAAACAAAAAATAATGATGTCTAAACAAATATACCTGAATTCGCCTGAGCTCAGGATTGAAGAAATTACTGTAAAAACTCTCAACTTTTTTTGCAAATACGGAATGCAGTTTTTGAGGTTTATATAAAATGCTTTGATTATTAGTGCAAACAAATTAAGTTTTATTTTTATAATGAAAGCTATCATGTTATTAAACATTAAGATCTATCCTGAATATAATTCAAGATATATACAAGTCACTCTTGGTAACAACCTCCCATAAACTACCTTTAAAAGTGACCATCATTTCTCAGAATTTAAGTTCTGAGAAATTCAGTTCATTAGTGATTAAACATCAGTCTTTAAAGTCGACTTTTTTTTTTTTTTTTTTTTTTTTTTTTATAGAAGATCAAGTAGTACAAAAGTTTAACTGCATTAATCTTAATATCAATGCTTACAAGTTCATTTTAAAACAATTTAAATTTGTATATTTTAGATGTTTGAAGTAAGTGATAGGTAAGGTCATTTCTGTTTGATACTGGGCAATTTTGGAGTTTTCTTTTTATTTCTTTATAGATATGTTGCAACTAGGTAAAAGTCTGGTGATTAATGGACTTTCCAGAATATATGGTGTATTATACTTAATTAATATAAATTGGTTTAAAAATTTTATGTAAGGTGTATGAATGATTACAAATTCACTTAAAAATAATTTAAATTAATAGATTTTAAATGTTTAAGGTAAATGATATGTTTCTTTAAAATAAACTTTTTTTTTCATTCATATATCACATTTAAAACCTGAGAATTTAATCAGTTATGTTATGAAAATATCTATGCTTCTTTATTAATTTCATGATATTTTTACAAATGTTTTCCTGTACTCTAAGTTTTGACTTTATTTAGAGACCATTTACGTGCAAATTTTAATTGCTTTTAAATATTTAAAAATGAAATATAGAAAGTTGCATCTTAAAACAATTCGAAATACATAGAGACACCTATCAATATTATTAAAGAACAAAATCAATACAGCATCTTTATACAGTATTCTGCCTCAGCTATTCTCAGTTTTGGCAATTTAAAACGCACGAGTAAAGATACGGAATCCCCATTCTGAGGAACATATTTCGTAACAATATTCAAGTTCAATACAATCAATACAAAAACTTCAGTACCTTTGTGAAAGTCCACAATAACATAACTATATATAGCAATAGTGACAAGAAAGAAGAGTAAAAAAGCAGATTTTGTCATTTTTCTTAAGTTGATTATCTTAATTTTAAAATGCTCTATTTTCCATATTTATAGCATTTTTGTAACTGGAAGAATATGATAGGACTATGACCTAAGGTTGCAAAAATAAAGGTAGTGTTAGGAATTTTTCTGGATACATTCTTCAGGAAGGTTTCTTCATTGCAATAAAACCACTTTTTATGTCATGCAGAATTTTTAAAGCATAAAATCAGATTGCTTCATTTTGATTTTTTTACTGGAACACTAAAACATTTAATTTATTTAGAAACTAAAATTCTAATCTCAAGTATGATTTTAATTGCTCCGGCAAACGAAGAAGTTCAATGCCGTCTGGCAGCTGTGAATTGCGCATCAGTGTTTTTCTTAACACACACCGAGAATAATGCAACAGGGTTCTTGGTCGAACAATGCTGTCAAAACTGTCGAATTCATGTTTTTTGAGCTGGTCGCAGATATCATTCACAGACTTGATGTCAGTGTATCTCAGTAGTAAATATTGTATCTCTTTGTATGAAAGGAAGGCATCAGGAATAGATCTCCAGATGAGCCGTAGACTCTCCAAATAAAATGTAAAGAAAGGAACACTCCAGGTTAAGACAAAACCAATAATTTCAATAATAAAAGACTCTCTTGATGTTAAATCCAATGCTTCTCTTCGAAAAAACATGGAAATTCTTCTCCTGAAAATAAATTTTGTTTAAATGAGAAAAAATTACAAGTAAACTATTGAAATTATTTTAACTAGAAAAAGATTCAAGTGGTGAATTCTGAAAACATTAACAGAAACATCAGCATTTATAATTCAAAAGCATTTCATTAGTTTACAGAAAAATGCCACATGGTACTTATTATTTAAAAATCTTCTTATTCTTCTATAAGTTATAATGTTTATTCAATACTCGAATTTGCAAGTTCTTGGATGTTTATGCTTTAGTGTCCAGTGCTTGTTAGTAGTAACTGCACAGTGAAAGATTATCAAAAAGTAAAATTTATGATTGCAAAAACAGTGGCATAATTAGGATGGGGCAAGGGGGGACATCTGTACCCAGTGGCAATATCGAGGGAGTGCTAATTTGATATTATGAAATTTTAGAATGAAATCTTTCCCATTCTTAACACATAGAAGGGGGAGCAAAATCTTCAGCTGCCCCAAGGTGCTCAAAACCCTAGCTACGGCTCTGCAAAAACAAAAATGTGAAAAGAAAAAATAATAATAAAATTTAGTAAAATGTTAGAGTTCTAATTTAGAGCTAATTTTGGTTCGATGCACCTTTTAAATTTCAGAAATCATATTTTTCAGTTAAATACCTTCATGTGTATCAAGTCTGTTAATTTTTGAAAGCCTGGCTGTATGATTTGAAACAATATCCAAGCACTTATACCTTAGTTTAAGAAAGCCATAGTTTAAAATTAAAATTCTAATTCAGTCTCTTCTTAATTTTTAGCCCAAGAGGGCAATTTTCCCAGGAGGGCTATTAATTTTGCTTTGGGATGTTGCATTGATTTGCTATAAACGGCGAATCACTTTTTAAATTATTGCCACCAAATATTAGAGCCCTGTATTATATTTAAAGAAATTAAATAATGAAGTATATGTATGTATGCTTCTCACATCCTGATAAAACAACAGTATCTAGAGCCATCAAATTTTGATTAATGTACGTCTCCACCCGAATATGGGCATCTGGAAGCCCAAGTTTGGAATTTATTTTATTATCTGTTTCATATTTTTAAGCATTTATAAGTTTTTGATTAAGAAACTCAACGATTTCAAAGTGAGCAATGGCAACATTGTACGGCGGAAAAAAATATTTTTATCTCCAGTGTGCGAGACTGTGTATCGGAAATTCTAAAGATATGCTCTTTTAAATATTTTGCGATACTGCTGTTGAATTGAATTTTATCGTGTAAGTGCTAAGAACATGATATTTAATAAATAAAGATAATACACAAAACATTAAAAAAAAGCCCCATTGAGCATAATATAAAATATGAAGACTTTCAGTTTTTTTATTATTATTATTTATTAAACTTTAGCAATATTAAACATGTGTGGAAGTAAGAAAAGAAAAATGTTACTAGCAACTTACAGTTCCAAAAATATGGGAGAAGAAATATTTACAAAATATTGACAATAGTGTGTATTTAATGAAAAGTGAATACAGTACAAAGTCCAAGATCTGCACTCGTCGGAATTTGGCGATTCCGGATTTGGGATTTTTCCAGATATTAGATCATCATTTTAAAACTAGTAAGATGGAATGTAGAAATTATAGAATTGAAAATATGAACTTGTGATTTATGAAATAATGAAGTATTTATGATCTAAAGGGTAACAAAATTTACAAAAGAAAAGCTTAATATTTATTTGTTAACTTAACATTTCTTTCAATGGAAGTTGTTTAAGTTGCTTTTTTTGTACTAATATTTTCTCTTCAATTCTGTAGACACACATAATTTCTTATTCAATTACAAAGCTCCATTGCTTGAGTCCTGTAATTGCCGAGTCGAGAAATCCAACTAACTTGTCAATCGAAAAATTTTTGCTTTCAATAACTTCTCTGCCATTTTCTTTACTATCTATCGGTAGTGATATTTTCTGAATCTAGAACCATACTATAGATTTCACTGTCCGTTAATTACTTAATGATTGGAGCATTGTCATCGCATTGAAAAACTGCTGTTTTATCATCTTCATTTATTACCGTTTCTCCACATTTCTGTAAAAAATTCATTAATTGGAAAATTTCACCTTTAGCTCGTGATATCCGAAAACCTTCACATTCGCAGCTATCATATTCATCATCCTCACCATGAAGTATGGCAGCTGGCCATAAATTATGCCAAGCACTTTTTAAGTATAAGAGGACGCATCCTCCCATGATTTTGCGATGCTCCATAAAGCAGACTTTATGGTAAAATATATAAAAAATTATTGAATAGTCTTGCCATTACTCAAAAAATTTATCATTTAAATTTATAAGATTTTAAAAAGTTTGAGGTGGAAATATTATGCATTTTTTGCAGCAATTCCACTTTTTGTTTAATGGACATCGAAATATGCTTTCACTTTGCAGATCCTGTTGCAGCTCCAGAATTAGAAATTCTTTTTGACATAATTTAAAATTCTTTTAACATAATTTACGCATAATAACACAACATAATATAATTTAACATAATAGCACAATATAATTTAACATAATTTAAATTCTTTTCAACAAACTTTAATTTTCATTAAAATTCCTTTAATAAAAACAGCCTGCAAGAAATAATAAGCTGGATCAAATCAGAAATATAAGGAATAGCACAACCTGCTATGTTGACTGAAATTCCTTGGAATGGGTAAAGTATAATTTTAGGCTAGATTAACAACGTCCACTATACATTATTGGCCATGCATCATGAGATTGGAGATGAAATTGAAGGCTGCCACTAGATATCTCACCATCTGAGGCAGAATCTGTGGGTCCTAAATTCTGCTACCAAGCACATTTCCTAAGTTCTAAATTTTTGCCAACCATAAATTTTGGATCCCAGTGTTTTTCCTAAATTCAAGATATTTTTTATCCCTTCATTTTGTTTCTCGGTGTTTCTCTAAAATTCCAAAAATTTTGTTTTTCCTAAATTCTGCCGCCAGTGCAATCATACGAGCTCTGGCACCAGTTCTGGAATCTTTGTTATTAAATTACTAATATAAAAAATTGTTTGGGTATCGCTGCACGATACACATGATACTCAAGTTATCATGTGTTAATAAACATGAGGTGATGAAAGCAAAATATAATAAATAATAATTCTTCAAGTTGGCATCAGGAATATAAAATACAGTACAAGTCCGTAATTTGGACGTCCATTATCCGGAATGATCTATAATCCGGACCTCAAAGCCACAAACTTTTTTTTTACGCATGCACGTAATGCGTTTATGTGTGTCCAATGTATAAAGGACAGTATAAACCAGGCTAAAATTATCTTTACTGATTCTAAGGCATTTCAGTTAATGTTGCAGATTGCGCTGTTCCTTAATCTTCTAATTGGATCCGGCTTATTAATTTTTGCACACGGTTTATTATTTTTTGTTAGAGCAATTTTATAAAAATTAAGCTTGAACTTTCGATTATGTCAAAAAGAGTTTCCAATTCTGGAGCTGCCAAAGGATCTACAAAGCGAAAGCATGTTTCGATGTCCATCAAACAAAAAGTGGAATTGCTACAAAAAACGGATAAAGGCATATTCGTCTCAAAATTATGTGAGGAATATGATATAAGCAAAAAGAAAAAGGAACTTTTTGTGGATTCCGACACTCCACTTGCAATGAATAACAGAAAAAGGGTTCATTATGCTAAAAGTGACAATCATGATTGAATGGGTCAGACCAGCACCCCCTGGATTCAAGGCCATGGCACATTTCCCGGGAGGAGGTGTGACGTCAATGTTAGTAGGGATTGCATTTCACTTAACTCTCCCCATCCAGGAATGTGGTGGGTGGATTTCCGGACTTTTGACGGTCATTCGGTCAGTTAGGCGTCCATATGAACAGTCGACATTATCTTTCATTCTTTAGATATTTTAAGACTATTCCACTTTCATATTATTTGTTTTTAAAATATTTTATATGGTTTACACATGCTGTGTACCGAACTGCAAAGGCAACAACTACCCAAATGATCCAAAAGTATAGGTTTTCTCTTTTCCGAAAGAGAAAGAATTGTTAAATAAATAGATAAACGCGATTCATAGAAACATTTTCAAGCCAACAAAATTTTCGAAGGTAAGTTGCGTTTTCTTTCTTTCTTTTCTTTCTTTTTTTTTTTTTTCATGAATAAGTTTATACATATCTGCACTTAAAAATGTTCTTCTGTGTTAAATATATTATAATTATCATAAACTAAAGTGAGTACGTACATTTATAAAAAGTAAATATATTTAATCTTAACGTAAGTAGTGATTATATGAATATGATGACTTAATCATACTATTCAATTAAATTTATAGCAGATAGTATTGTTTATCATCATGCTAATCGTTCAATCTATAGCAGATGGCATATTTATCATCATGCTAGTCACTTAATTTGTAGTAAATGACATTATTTACCAAGTTAAGTAAATTAAACAAATGTGTGACCTAAAATTAGGATTAGATTAAATGTAGGAGTAATAAAAATTTGAAATTTTATATACATTTTGCATGTTGCAAAGTGCTTGCATTTAAATATCTCAATACATTTGTCGCAGCAATAGCATATTTATTAAAATCTGAAGACCTTGAAAAATTTTGATAATATCTCTGTACCTAATGACAATTTTGTTTCTAATATTAATGTGAAAAAATATGCTATTTAAATTTTTATGAGTTCATGTCTGATATTCTTAAAATTCACTTAATACAACATAAAGCATTAAAAATGAAATTTTACAAAATGTTGTATTTAATTCTAGCTTAGATAATTAAATCTGATTATAACAATCTTTGAATGCAAGTGTTTTGACGATAATAAATATATCATTTATGTGATAACGATAATGCGCATAAAGCAAATTTGTTACTGTAATTATGTATAATTACGTAACAGTTCAAAAACTTGTGGCAATGGACAATGAACAAAAATTTTTACAAAGCAAAATTCAGAGACAAATAGCAGTGAAATTAACTTCACAAAATTTGGAAGACTTTGATC